TATCACCAACACCACTACTACCATCACCACCATAACCACAACACCTCATCACCATCACTACCACCCCAACAACAATCACCACAATCCACCACCCACACAAATGACCAACCACCATCCCACGAATAGGGTTTATAGTTAACCCTTTCATAACCTAACCTAACCTAACCCAATCCTCCCTACTCTCAATTTTCATGGATTGAAGGAAAGACAGACACACACAGACACATATCCACCAATCATACAGACAAAACACACACACGTATATTACAGTATTCATGAATCAGATGTCGAACCCCTGTACTGAAGGCTTTACACGATGACTAAACTCCTCGTGGCCATTGTTAACCTTTTGTAAGAAGCTAGCGTGAATTACAATAATATTTCACCATAATTTCACAGTTTTTCTTTTTTACAAATATATCGACGACTGAGTGACAATAGCTGCCGGGAGGTGGGGGAGGTATACGATGGATGATAAGATATACTGAATATGAGGTGTTGTGGGTAAGTATGCTTGATATATCGGCTCACTTTCCCCCCCTCCTGTATATGCTTAATTTGACCCAAATATCTATTCGTTTGGTTATTGAGTTACTTCGTCTTTCTATCTTGTCGTGTCGTTATTCCTTCATTTATCAATTTACCTTCTTATCTATTCTGTAAATCTCTCTTAACAGCATTTGATGATAATATTTACATATATATTTCAACTCCTAAGTGATATATGAAGATCAATTCGAACCCTACTAAATGGGGATTCGACAATCACCTGTTTCATACACTCCCATTACTAGATAATTTTCCTATACAGTATCCAGCATTATGATTAATAATAATATAAACACGATAATGGAGTATTTTATAGCAGAAACAGCTATTATCATTCATCAGTGGGTATTTACCATGAAAAAGGAGCGATGGGAAGGCTTTGGCTATAGACGACACGAGGATATTTCTTTCATTTATAATTCACAGCAAATATGTAAACTTGCCTGCAATTTTGGCCCAAACAATGGATTTATCTTTTCGCAGAAGCATGAGTCCTAGTTTAATATTTAATGATAATATAGCTACTTTTTGTGCAGATATATCTACAGTAAGGTGATTTACTCCGTCGTTTAGATAAAATATGAAATATCTCTGCGTCTTGTTGTGCCGTAATAAGCAGTATTGCCAAGTATGATGGATGGATGTTCTCCTGGACCACACAGCAGCGTTACCAAAGACATAAATTTTATCCTATTTTGTACATAGATCTTCTCTATATCTGTGGGTGCGTACCTAATGAGTTAAGTGATTTTACCGTGTGTGTATGTATGTACTGTATGAATGTATGTACTATCGTGGACAAAAGTTCGCTCCTTCCCAAACTGAAGCAGTATCGACCCGCACAGCACAACCACACGAGATAACAATCAGGGTAAGTCAGTTCGGAGACTCATTCCAGTGTCTCAGTTTCACTACAGGGGTCGAACTTTTGTCCACGATAGTACTACTACAACCAATTCTACTATTACCACTTACTACTATTACTACTACTACTACTACTATTACCACTTACTATAGGGTGTAAAATACGTACATACAATCATCCACATCATACATACAAACCCCTACACCCCAAGACACACTAAATATGGATGATATTCCCGTAAATAATATATAATCCCTGTGCTAGTTCCAGTTTATAATGTATTTTGGCCCTGTAATATTCACCATTCTATTACTCATTACACGTATTACTCCACCAAAATACTGATAACCTTTACCGTAACCCCTTATGTATGGAGCCCTGTCTGTGCTGCGAAAGATCATCTCACAACTAAATGAAATACCGTAAATGACGTCCCTGTAGTGAAGAGGTTAGTGGGGATAAGTCTTTTTAATGATCTGGGGTCAATTACTGTAGATGTAATTTGGGTGCTTGGGTAATCACTTATCCTAAAGACTCTTGGAAAGATTAATTAGTTTTAATCTTAATTTTATATTGTTTTTATTGTGTTTTTTATTGTTTTTTGTTATTCTGGATGTGGTGAAGTGGTCAAACACGGCCTGGGGGTTTGGGAAATCATATCTAAGCTAGTTCTGACCCGTGTAAACCAATTCTGACGCATCTAGACCATTTTTGACTCATCTAGGTGAGTTTAGACACATTTATCTTTGTCCTGACACATGTAGGTCAGTGCTGACACATCTATCTTACAATTTTTTGACATATCTATAGCAGTCTGACACATTTAATGCAGGTCTGACACATCTACTGCAGGCCTGACCCATCTACTGCAGGCCTGACCCATCAACGACAGGTCTGACACATCTACTGCAGGCCTGACACATCTACTGCAGGCCTGACCCATCAACGACAGGTCTGACACATCTACGGCAGGTCTGACACAACTACTGCAGGCCTGACACATCTACTGCAGGCCTGACCCATCAACGACAGGTCTGACACATCTACGGCAGGTCTGACACATCTACTGCAGGCCTGACCCATCAACGACAGGTCTAACACATCTACGGCAGGTCTGACACAACTACTGCAGGTCTGACACATCTATCTTAGTGCTGACATATCTAGACCAATACTGAAACATCTACCTCTGCCCTGATACTGTACACCAAAATCTGACAGGGTTGACAGACAAATAAGAACACAAGACAGACACGCAAACAACTATACGAGGTAGACAGACACAAACAATTATACAGGAAAGATCACACACAGACAAACAAACAAAGTATTAAATTTTTGTGATTAATTTTATTTTTGTATATTTTTAATTAATTAGCTTTTATATTTTACGATTTAATTGATTAATATTTTATTTATCTAAAGAACACTGGCAACAAAAATGCAAAAACAACAATGAAAATCTTACGAAGACCAAAATTTCAGAATTAAGCTCCAATTGAAGGTGTACTTACTTGTACGATGCCATGATAACGACTGAGATTCGACCCCAGCATCAGGTCTCTTACGGTGCTCCCCGCTGCCAGACTTCACCACCCACCAGCCGTAGGGATCGTACAGTCTATTTTGATCAAAACATCGCCCATTGACGTTCTCATACATACACCTTGTAATCCCACGGGAATATAAACTTGACATACGAGGCTCGAACTAGTGATGGATCTGGTTAATATATAATTCTCTATGTGGGAAAAATATTCGGTGTGAATGAAGTTTTTATTGAGTATTGGCTGAACAACAGAGAAGTACATTCACGTAACAATAAACTATATATCTATCTATATATCTACATTTTATATGTCATATTTTTACCCATTCATCCTTCTATCTTTTAATCTATCTGCTGATCAATCGATTCACCTATCTATCGAGAGGACAAGGAATGGTGATTATAGTACACAACCATCCCCTTGGCCGCCCGCGACCCCTTGGCCAGCCACACCCTCTACCAAATTTCAGCTCCCCATCTTCAAAACCGCGACCCGCAGTTAGAGACTTCGGTTTGTCTGTCTGTCCATATATCTGTTTGTTTGTCTGTCTTTTTATATGTCTATCAACTTATCTAAAGATTAATTACTGTAACAAGACAGTCACACCCTGAATTATCTATAACCATTAATCCATAAGCAGAAAATTGGTTTAATCTATCACAAGTTTTTTCATGGAACCTGGAGAAATATGTGGTGTTGCCGTGGTAATATATCTTAGTATTGTTCACGTCTCCCATTGCTAAAATATTGGAAAAACTTACGATAAAATTACCGGGTTGGGATTCACAAAGAAACTGTGAGGTGGAACTCTAATTAAAAATGTTGTCGGTAATTTTGTATTTAACAAACGTAAAAACCCGAAGAATCTCCTCTCCCCTCCTCGTGCTACTTGGGGATGAAATTCTTCAGGTGATGCTTATTATATTACGAAAGATAAGTTAATTAGTTTAGCTCATTTTATGGGCGATAAATTGTACAATGTCACAAAATCTGATAATGTACATCTGGACGCGACGAATGTAAATAATGACTCACTTGTGATTTATCCACATGAACAACTGTCCACACTATCTGAAATCAATATCTTAACCTCCGCGTTACAGAACAACAGAAGGAAAGAATCAAAGAGTAGGGTACGCGATAATATACCGTGGGTCTTACCATATAGTATATTGCATTCGAATTAGCTTAGTTACTCATAAATATATGAAGAGTTTTCTATGACTTATAGGGGTAACTGAGATATATTGCACTAGCTTCTGTTGATGTTAAATGTTCTGTGTTTTTTATATATAAATAGATAGATAAATTTATAGATAGATAGTTATATAAATAGATAGATAGATAGATATATAGATAGATAGGTAGATAGATATATAGATAGATAGATAGATTACAATCTAAATATTAAAACGGTTAGCAAGACAGTGCAACAGATATCTAAATATATGGGAAGGTTAAATCAACAAAAATATTCATATTCTATAGAGTTCTTACCTGCTGTAACAGTCTACCACTCTATGTTATTGCATCGGTGACTATAGTTAAATTTGAAAGGAATTTAGACCGGGCAGGAAGGAATCTGTATCTGTGCGTATCCAAAATTTCCTTCGAGGGTTCTAGGATTTAATGCTTAGAGGGGTGCGTAGATTCATAATTAACTGGGAGAAAACCACAATATTTACACTGTATTATGAAATCCTAGTAACATGCAAATCAAGTCTAATTTCAAAATAAAATTTACTCCATTATCCCCTCAAAGGGTTTGAAGGCTGAAGGGTTCGGTAGCGAGATACAGAGGTTCGGTAGATAGATAGATATATAGACTAATACAGTATACTTGATGGGAAGAGAAAACAATACTACATTCATGACTTCCAGAGTTCAAAGGTCCGGTAACAAAATTCAAGGGTTTATAACAGGGACTCGTGGATTTGGTACTGGAATTAAGGGACTGGGATTTAGGAGTTCTAAACTGGGATTCGGGGCTCGGCACCAGGAAGGGTTCAGTACTGGCGGAGGAACCACAACACAGCCAGACGCCACGGGAGGAGGTCAACATTTATTACCTGTGATTCTGTAGCTTCTAATACACCCTCCAACAAGATGAAGATCACTGTGAAGATATTACAAGGCAATGAATGTACCATGGAGGTGAGATAGTGACCCTTAGTGGTGATCTGAAGGGTAAAATAAGTGGAAGATGTGGTGATGCAAGTGTGGCTGCCTGGTGAGACGTGTGGTTGAATTTATTTGGAAAGAATGATGGGCAGGTGAATAATTGGAATGATATTTTCTAGTGTATAATCCAGTTTGATTGATGTTTAATGTACATGAGTGGTAATATTGTAATGAAAAAGAAAACTTGATGAACTAACAGGCTGACTGCCGAGGGGTAAGCTTATGTAGCTACGTGTGTGTGTGACATGGATGGATTAAAATATATTCAGTATTATAAGGTATTTCAACAAAGGCTAATCTAAGGTACCCGTTAGCTATTAAAAGTTTATATATATCGTTGTCCTTACAAATTGGCAGATTGTGATGGCTACCTATATTTTTGGGGGTATACATTATGAATTATACTGTACAGTACCTGCATTGTTTTCACACATACTAAATCAAAACTAAACTAAAGATTTATTGATAATTCTTAAGATGATCAACACACATCGTAGCTTTCAGAATTTTACCTTGCAAGAAATTTGGGTAATATATTTCTTGACGAGAGTGGTCCAGCCTGAGCACCAACTTGAGGAAATTTCTCCATAGACGATAAAAGCTTTCTTATCCGATAAAATGACAGATGGTGTGCGAGGAATGCATTTTGGGTAATATTAATATAAAAAAATAAAGTGGCGACCCTCTTTTTTAATCCAGATTCAGTTAAGTATCATTAGTTTGTGTTCTTGCTGTCAGGGATGATTTAATGATTTAGCTCTGGTTAGTAAAGTATCTTAAAACTGGACATTTTTAAGATGGTTTGTTCAGACAATGACTTAAGGCGTAGAATGTGGGCGCTGCTTCATTACTACACAGCACTTGGAAATTTCAAGCGATTTCTACTGAATGTCCCCACTAATTAAAACAAATCTGACCCCAGTGGAAGTGCAAGGAATATATTTTGCTTCAATTTCTAAAAAAAAAAAAAAAAAAATTTGCTTGAAATATCTGCTGGGATGAACACAAGATTTGTTTTTTTCACACCTGATTTACATTTTTCACGTTGAAACGAACATTCAGTAGAGATGTTCTCAAAAAGGTCCACGTTCGAAGATGGCGACCATATTCTATACCTGTAATGTTTCAAGGTGAATATTTAAATTTTTAGTGATATAGAAGTAATGACCAGACAGTTAATAGGACTACATGACAATTAGCACCTCCAGTATATTTCACCTTAAGATTAGTCACCCTAATATTAATTAAACCTAACCTAGCCTTACTTCCTCAGGCATCATTAGCATGTTTAATCATCAGGTGAAATAAGTTGGAGTGTTAGGTAATAAGAATTCAACTTAATGTGAAATTTCTCGTATTTCAGGTTCCTGGGAGTTCTAGAGTGTCCAAAGTGAAAATTATAGTGAACGAATTTCTGTCAGTTGCCCCTCATGCACAGCGGCTTGTCTACAAAGGAAAGACTTTATCAGGTGTGTTACTTGTGACTTTGTTGTTTGTATATCCATATTTTTGCTCTGATTATCTCATTAACACCATTTCTGTGCTCTTTCAACTTTTCAAGCTTATTTTACAGGGTCCGACTAATTACCCAAATGTACCCAAATGTAGCCAAATATAGCCGGAATGAAGTCAAATAATGGTCCTAGATGAATAAATCGGACTGCCAATCACTTCTCGACTAGTATTTGGTGTCAGAAAGTCACAAAAAATTGGAAAACTTACTTTAATCCGAGTTAATAGATCGCGTGCATGTACCGACGGAGCGAGGAATGTACCCAAATGTAGTCGCAATGAAGTCAAATAATGGTCCTAGATGAATAAATCGGACTGCCAATAACTTCTCGACTAGTATTTGGTGTCACAAAGTCACAAAAAATTTGTAAACTTATCTTAATCTGAGTTAATAGATCAAGTGCATGTACCTAATCTAATCTAACCTAACCTAACCTAACACAACACAACTCAGATTAAATTAAGTTTACCAATTTTTTTTGACTTTATGACATCAAATAATAATCGAGAAGTGATTCACAGCCCGAATTACGCTTGTACGACCATCATTTGACTTCATTGCGGTTACATTTGGGTAATTCCTCGCTCCGTCGGTACATGCACGCGATCTATTAACTCAGATTAAAGTAAGTTTTCCAATTTTTTGTGACTTTCTGACACCAAATACTAGTCGAGAAGTGATTGGCAGTCCGATTTATTCATCTAGGACCATTATTTGACTTCATTCCGGCTATATTTGGCTACATTTGGGTAATTAGTCGGACCGTATTTTACATGAAGATTAATGATCCCAGATTGTTTCACTTGAAGATTAGTCGCCCTAATATAATATACCAGATCACAGGCAACTTTCTTTCCATGTCTGCTTGTATCCTCCTGGGGCATCCAATTACATATCAATTTTTAGGATAATCTGGTTTGTCTAGCTATGTGTTAGTTCACTTGACTACTACTTCTAATTTGTGTACAGTAGATCAAGGCTACAAAACTTTCACAGTTAGGGAGGAAATGATGATCACATTTACAGATAAGAAGGGACAGGAAAAGCCTTAGTCAACAAGTACACACACACACACACACACACACACAAAACCATCCAGACACTCATAGCTTTTTAATATATAGAAGCTGTCTTTTCTTGCAGATGAAACCACACTTGATGAAGCTGGCATCACTGACGGAGCCAAGATCCATCTCATGGTGAAGAAGGCGGAGGTGTCGTCTCCCTCCAGTGGGGCATCCTCCTCCTCCAAGAAGTTAGAATCCCCGACGACAGTGGACTTCTTCTCTCAGTTAGATACTTTTCTTAGCAAACACTTGACTCAAGAACAAACGACAAAGGTGGTCAGCGAATTTAGAAAGGTAAATTGATATTTTACTAATTTATTTTATTTGGGGGGGAGGATTCTGAGGATACCTGTATGAGAACATATATTAACACTTGAGTTTTTCTTGTGGAGTACAATACAGTATATTTCAATACTTGTACAGTATACATATAAAATAGAGTACCAATGTTTTGTACTGTGCATTTAGGTTTCCAAGTTGTGTTTTGTTTGTTTATTGTTCCTGTTAGAGTATATTCTTTATCCATTGGGTGAATTAGCCACCATGTTTATTTCACCTGATGATTAAACACCCTAATGCTTTCTGGGGGGGGGGTTAGGTTAGGTGAGGGAAACATTAGGATAATTGATGTTAAGGTTGGATTAGCTAAGCTGGAGGGTTAATCTTTAGCTAATCTATTAAATATTTCTGGCTTAGGATTGAGAGTTGCCATGCTGTGAGGGTTTTCATGATTTATCGGGTACACATACAGTATAACCTTTGGAAAGGAATTTTATAGAAGGGAAAGTCCTGGTAGCATATTCAATGTACACAGAGGGTTACCCGAGGATTAAGCACCATAGCTTATTTAACATAGTTGTGTGAGAATAAAGATTATATACAGTAAACCCTTGATAACTCGGCACATATTGGGCTCTGGCCTTGCCGAGTTATCCCAAATTCTGACTTATCGAGGCACCCCCCCCTTACAAAAATACAATAAAAAATTATCAACCCATGTACTGTGTGTGTACATGGTAGGTGACGCAGGCGGCCAGATATGTCGAGATTTTCCCAAATAATTTTATATATCTTGGCATTTCCTGAGTTATACATTCCGAGACCATATCCATACCGAGTTATATGAAATTCCGAGTTATTGAGGGTTAACATATTTTGTATACTCTGATAAGTTTATATTAATCATATTTTGATCATTTCAGAATTGCCAGTTGATGGTGGACAGTATGAACTTTGACGATATTGAAAGATTCGCCGCCAGCAACTTTACAGAGTTTTAAGGATGCCCGTTTCATTTACTTCTTTACAAAAATATGAATATGACAGCGGATTATATGTGTGTGAAGATGATGAGTGATTCGAGATTGACGTAACAAACAGTGAAAGATTTGATGGATGTGTGAAGACGGTGATGACTCAAGTTGGGTGCAGTACATATTGGCGTGAAGACTGAACAATTCAGAGACTCGTACGGTAATATGGTGAATCAAAACATCTCGTGTGTTTATGATAGACATCGAGAGCGCGGATTTTTATCGTTGTGAAACAGTTATGTTTGGAAGCTCATTGACCAGTTGATGAAGAATACTCTTTCCGGGTATTGTACGTGTGAATTGACGGACTCTTTTGTAAATGACCCTTTGTGTTAGATGTATACAAATATCTTTATCTTATGTTCTACTGATGCTTTCCACTGTGAATGAAGATTTAGGTGAGGAAATATTATATTCTTGAAATTATGAATATGGAATGTCACATGTTGACAGTCGTAAAGTGTTTTATTAAGAGCTTCATGTCGCCTCAGAGACTAAGTAATGATATTCAGTAACTCCCACTAGTACAAATACCCACATAAGTTACAGTGTGTTGTGATCGCTTGAAATATCTCTACTGCTCTTGATGATTTTTATATATAATTAAACAATATTGAACTCTCTAGTCCTAGTCAGTTTTGCTTTGATATCTCATCATCTTGCTAGTGTTTGGAAAATGAATTCTGATGTGTGTTTATGTTGGGTCTTGTGAGGCTTTTCGTTTTTTTACTGATTGCTTTGTATAATAGTTGCAATGTCTCTCTTGTATGATTCCCAGATTGAAAGAATATCAGAGAGGCCCACTATGCCATATACTATACTCTCATTATTTATTTATTTTATTTATATTTTACAGCAGATGATGTGGACCTAACTTGACCTTTTGGTTAGGTTAAGTTAGGTTTCATTGGTTCATATCATCTGAAAAGTAAATGGCTTAGTGGTCCTTTTGTTGTAACTTCTTAGCATCGGCCATATTTAGTGACTGAAAGAAATTGTATGTGTGTAGTAATGTATATATTAGTGGTGGTGTTGACATAATGTGGTCAGTACTGGGTGGGATATGTATACGTATGATGTCTTGCCTTTAATGTACGACGCTACTTATTGGGTATTTGAACTGATAGATATAAAAGTAAATTGACTGGGATTTTAGAATGTAAACATGGTAGGTTTTATGGAAGAAATTTTAACTCTCCTCCACATAATAGCTATAGGGGTGTGCTAGTACCCCTGGCGTCCGCGTCCAAATCCAGGTTAGGATTTGTGTTGGTGCCTGCGGAGCCAGTGGGGTTAGGATGGACCTTTGTGATTGGTGAGTTCATGGGTTCGTATAGGTTAATGATGGAATATTTCATAGGGAACTGAAGGTGCATCTGGGGGTACAGAGCCAAAATATTTGAAGCTATATTGCGAGAACCTAAGTTAAATGAGCCACAGTTCTGATGAGACCTTAAACTAACCTCTAAGATCGGGGCTTAAAAGGAGTGGGCTTCAGTCAGGTTAATTTGGGGCCTATCAATACTGGGGCCCATTATTCAATCACCTGTGTATCGGCTCAGTAGTTAAGCCCATGCTATGCAGAATTGCTCAGTGAGGTAATTCACTTAAGTAAGTAATTTTCCATTTTATGATTTTATCTTCGCTCATCAAGGGTTTGACTCATAGCTGAAGGAACTATGAGTGTGTCTGTAAGTTAACATTTCTTAACATAAATTTAATAATGGTTTGCAGATGTCATGGATGCATGAAATATATTTTTTGTTTCTAGTGTGTTCTTGTACAATATGAACTTTTGTAAATCAGGATTTTGTTTCTTAAGTTGGGATCCTTATCTTAGAAAAAGAAATACAGTATATCAAATAAATTTCTAACAAAAATTTCAGTTTTTCAATGAACATATTAAAGAGGCACGATATTATTACACAGAGGCGGCTCTTAGTTACGAGGTTGGAGTTGGTAAATGAAAAGGTTTTGTCTATTTAGGGACTGAGACGACAACATTATTTAAGGGCGATAAAATCCTGATCATTTCAACTTGTAAATATCACTAACACTTTTGTGTACTGTACTTCTACATAATAGAAGTTAGTTAGGAGTGATGTTTGATATAAAATATGAAACATGGAATTCTCATTTACAGGATGGTCATCTTACAGAAGGTAATACAGTAAGGTATAGTATTTCAATTTTATTAAAGTCTTTGTGATGACAGAGGCTGACAAAAACTGGTGGGATATTCCTCATCCTTCCTCCTTTACAGTTATACGATATCTTTGTTTTGCCATTTGTGTCATGGTGGAATAGAAGAGGTAAGTCAATCACACCATAATCCAAATGGCTCAGAATAGAAGTATATTAATGAATACAGTGAAACCTCGTTAATTTGGATTAATTGGGGGAAAGGTGATCTAGATTACTGCAAATTTCTATAGCGCAAAGGCCAACCAGATAGAACAAATGACAACTTAACATGTAATGAAATAAAACAATAACCTATAAAATAAAAGTGAATATATATTTAAAGAATTGCTTATCTTTAATTCCAAAAGGCTCTTGGCTCCTGAAGGTAGTGTGAGAGGCAGTAGTTTGAACACTACTACTAAATTTCTTACACACTAATTCTGAGACACCATCACAAAGCTCTGTACTTAAACACACATCATTTTTCATCAGACCCATCAGATTGACTGGAACTGTGTACATAGTTGTGGGAGTGTGTACATGGTTGTGAGAGTGTGACATGGTTGTGTGTGTGTATACATGGTTGTGGGCGTGTGTGCATAGTTGTGGGAGTGTGTACATGGTTGTGAGAGTGTGTACATGGTTGTGAGAGTGTGTACATGGTTGTGTGTGTGTATCCATGGTTGTGGGAGTGTGTACATGGTTGTGAGAGTGTGTACATGGTTGTGTGTGTGTATCCATGGTTGTGGGAGTGTGTACATGGTTGTGAGAGTGTGTACATGGTTGTGAGAGAGTGTACATGGTTGTGTGTGTGTATCCATGGTTGTGGGAGTGTGTACATGGTTGTGAGAGTGTGTACATGGTTGTGGGCGTGTGTGCATAGTTGTGGGAGTGTGTACAGGGTTGTGAGAGTGTGTACATGGTTGTGTGTGTGTATCCATGGTTGTGGGGTGTGTACATGGTTGTGAGAGTGTGTACATGGTTGTGAGAGAGTGTACATGGTTGTGTGTGTGTATCCATGGTTGTGGGAGTGTGTACATGGTTGTATGAGTGTGTACATGGTTCGGAGTGTGTGTGTACATGGTTGTGAGAGTGTGTACATGGTTGGGGGTGTGTGTACATGGTTGTGAGTGTGTACATGGTTGTGTGAATGTGTACATGGTTGTGTGTGTGTGTGTGTCCATGGTTGTGGGAGTGTGTACATGATTGTAGGAGTGTATACATGAATGTGAGTGTGTACATGGTTGTATGAGTGTATACATGAATGTGAGAGTGTGTACAAGTTTGTATGAGTGTACATGGTTGTGTAAGTATGTGTATGTGTACATGGTTATGGGTGTGTGTACGTCGCCAAGGGCGTGTGCACATGATTGTGTACGATGAACTAAACCTTTGGGAATTGTGACAACAAATAAAGACGCAAGTGTTTCAACAAAACTATGAAAACTTTGGTATTTTATTACTTAACTTTTTTACTTTTATCCTCTATGGTTATTTTGGTGTTTCAATAAACCTATGAATACTTTGGTGCTTTGTTGAAGGATAATTTTATTCGTCTCCTTAAGCTAGTATTTTTTCATCCAGTTTTGAATTCATTGGGCACTAGCTTAAAAGCTTAATGCTCCTACATCACTCATACTCCTCATCCCTCCCACAACACTCATACACATCAACACCCTCACACAACACAACGTTCTCACTTCTCAATAATCTCGCAACATTACAACACGCATCTCAAAGCATCACCACATTTTAGAACAATACACAATACCACTTTCAAACATCACCAGACTATGAGTTGCTCTACGGGTGGCAAATAAACATCACTTTAGAACAATTACCAACAACGGTATTATTCGCATTCAACCAAAGGAGTGTTGAAGGGTAAAATCTGCACATCCCATAATATTGCTCTAATCTCCCTGAAATTAATAATGAGCAAAAAACCTTTCCCAAAGAAACGGCCGCATCTAATGAACGCAATCAGGACGCGATTCCATGGATGGTTTAGATTGTGATTTTTAGGAAAAATTAAGAATTCGTCTCGACTCTACAAGTAGCTGTGTGTGCGCGTGTGAGGTGGTGGTGGGGGCGACGTCCGACTCTATCCTTCGAATTCTGTATTTTACCTTTAGATTTGGAGTTGAGCGCAAAATAGAGTATTTGTCTAGAGGTGGGCGACGACGGTTACGTATGTGTGTGTGTGTGTGTGTAGTAGTGTGTACGTATTTGGTGCTGGTGGCGGCAGCGTCCGTCCGACCTGGTCGCGCGAATTCTGCATTTTTCATCAAAATCAATATCTAAACAAGCCACGGAATCGCGTTCTGATTGCGCTCAATCGATGCAGCTTGCTCAAAAACCCCTTTCTTTAGTAAAGGTTTCTTTGCTCATAATTAATTTCAGAGCGATTAGAGCAATATTAAAGGAATTACGGCTACATTTCTTTCCAGGAAGTCTTCTCTCATAATATTGCTATTATTGGCACCAGGGATAAATTTTATTGATTTCGGAAGTAAATAATACCCCCAAATTTAATTTCCATATATAACTTTGCTGATATTGTATAACTTTGGCTCGAATATCGCCCTAAAGAGTGATGAGAGGTACATGTAACTTCACTTGGAGGGTGTCTGGGATGCTTTGGGATGATTCTTTTGTGCTGATAACATATATTCCATCAAATGGACAAATAATAATCAATTTAGAAGAATTACTAACAACGGATTTATTCACATTCAACGAGGAGACTACTGAAGGGTAAAATCTCCATATCTCCCTTAATATTGCTCTAATCCCTAAGAAATTCATATTGAGCAAAGAAACCTTTGCCAAAGAAAGGCTATTCGCATACGCCGCATCGAATGAACGCAATCGGGACGCGATTCCATGGATCGTTTAGATTGTGATTTTTAGGAAAAATTAAGAATTCGTCTCGACTCTACAAGTAGCTGTGTGTGCGCGTGTGAGGTGGTGGTGGGGGCGACGTCCGACTCTATCCTTCGAATTCTGTATTTTACCTTTAGATTTGGAGTTGAGCGCAAAATAGAGTATTTGTCTAGAGGTGGGCGACGACGGTTACGTATGTGTGTGTGTGTGTGTGTAGTAGTGTGTACGTATTTGGTGCTGGTGGCGGCAGCGTCCGTCCGACCTGGTCGCGCGAATTCTGCATTTTTCATCAAAATCAATATCTAAACAAGCCACGGAATCGCGTTCTGATTGCGCTCAATCGATGCAGCTTGCTCAAAAACCCCTTTCTTTAGTAAAGGTTTCTTTGCTCATAATTAATTTCAGAGCGATTAGAGCAATATTAAAGGAATTACGGCTACATTTCTTTCCAGGAAGTCTTCTCTCATAATATTGCTATTATTGGCACCAGGGATAAATTTTATTGATTTCGGAAGTAAATAATACCCCCAAATTTAATTTCCATATATAACTTTGCTGATATTGTATAACTTTGGCTCGAATATCGCCCTAAAGAGTGATGAGAGGTACATGTAACTTCACTTGGAGGGTGTCTGGGATGCTTTGGGATGATTCTTTTGTGCTGATAACATATATTCCATCAAATGGACAAATAATAATCAATTTAGAAGAATTACTAACAACGGATTTCTTCACATTCAACGAAGAGACTGGTGAAGGGTAAAGTCTCCATATCTTCCTTAATATTGCTCTAATCCCTCTGAAATTCATTATGAGCAAAGAAACCTTTACTAAAGAAAGGGTCTTTTAATACGCCGCATCTAATGAGCGCAGTCGGGACGCGATTCCATGGCTGGTTTAGATTTTGATTTTGAGGAAAAATGCAGAATTCGTCTCACCTTGGGCTGTGGGTGCGTTTGTGGTGGTGGTGGTGGTGGAGGCGACGTCCGGCTGAATCCTTCGAATACTGTATTTTTACCTTTAGATTTGGAGTTGAGCGCAAAATAGAGTATTGTCTAGAGGTAGGCGACGACGGTGATGTATGTGTATGTTTGTGGTAGTGTGTACGTATTTGGTGCTGGTGACGGCAGCGTCTGACCTGGTCACGCGAATTGTGCATTTTTCATCAAAATCAAAATCTAAAGCAGCCACGGAATCGCGTTCTGATTGCGCTCCATCGATACAGCATGTTCGAAAACCCTATCTTCGAGAAAGGTTTCTTTGCTCATAAGTAATTTCATAGCGATTAGAGCAATATTAATGGAATTGCAGCTACATTTCTTTCCGGGATGTCTCCGCTCATAATATTGCTATTATCGGCCCCAAGGTATATTTTATTGATTTCGGAAGTAAATAATACACCCAAATTTCATTTCCATATACAGGTTTACTGGTGTAGTAAGGGTTTGACTGGAATATCGTCCTGAAGAGTGATGAGAGGTACCTGTAAAGTCACTTGGAGGGTGTCTGGGATGCCTTATTGCTATTCTTTTATATTGACAACATTTATTCCATCAAATGGACAAATAATCATCGATTTAGAAGAATTACTAACAACGGATTTCTTCACATTCAACGAAGAGACTGGTGAAGGGTAAAGTCTCCATATCTTCCTTAATATTGCTCTAATCCCTCTGAAATTCATTATGAGCAAAGAAACCTTTACCAAAGAAAGGGTCTTTTAATACGCCGCATCTAATGAGCGCAATCGGGACGCGATTCCATGGCTGGTTTAGATTTTGATTTTGAGGAAAAATGCAGAATTCGTCTCACCTTGGGCTGTGGGTGCGTTTGTGGTGGTGGTGGTGGTGGAGGCGACGTCCGGCTGAATCCTTCGAATACTGTATTTTTACCTTTAGATTTGGTGTTGAGCGCAAAATAGAGTATTGTCTAGAGGTAGGCGACGACGGTGATGTATGTGTATGTTTGTGGTAGTGTGTACGTATTTGGTGCTGGTGACGGCAGCGTCTGACCTGGTCACGCGAATTGTGCATTTTTCATCAAAATCAAAATCTAAAGCAGCCACGGAATCGCGTTCTGATTGCACTCCATCGATACAGCATGTTCGAAAACCCTTTCTTCGAGAAAGGTTTCTTTGCTCATAAGTAATTTCATAGCGATTAGAGCATTATTAATGGAATTGCAGCTACATTTCTTTCCGGGATGTCTCCGCTCATAATATTACTATTATCGGCCCCAAGGTATATTTTATTGATTTCGGAAGTAAATAATACACCCAAATTTCATTTCCATATACAGGTTTACTGGTGTAGTAAGGGTTTGACTGGAATATCGTCCTGAAGAGTGATGAGAGGTACCTGTAAAGTCACTTGGAGGGTGTCTGGGATGCTTTATTGCTATTCTTTTATATTGACAACATTTATTCCATCAAATGGACAAATAATCATCGATTTAGA